ACAGAATACTGTATACATTTTTTTTAAAAAGAACTAACAAGAAACATGTGTGAGGTATGAACATGTGTAGCCTGCAGGCTGAATAAATATGGATGGATTCAGACAGTGGTGGCGCATGCCTTTAATCCCAGCACTCGAGTAGCAGTGGCAGGCGGATCTCTGTGAGTTCAAGGACAGACTGGTCTACAAGAGCTAGTTCCAGGACAGGCTCCAAAGCTAGAAATCCTGTTTTGAAAAATAAATAAATAATAATAATAATAAAGAATCAAGTAATAATAAATAAATAAGGATGGATTCTTACACTGTCTACAAGGCATTTTTCTAAAAGCCACATACAGCCTAGACCGTGGCTCCTGGAGGGGAGATGATGGCTTTCCCCGTCCCATTTGTACCCTGGTGCTGTTAGATTTCTTTTCATATATGTGTGCATGCTTCCTTGACTTTCTGGTGTCTCTTTTGTTGTTTTGGTAAAATTGGTTTCCTTTTTGGTTTTGTTGTTGCTTGTTTTCTGAGTCCAGGCTGACAACAAACTTACAATCCTGTTTTAGCTTGGCTGCTGCTAGGGTTTCAGACATGTACAATCATGCCCATCTCCTTTGTTGAGACAGGGTCTTACCATGTATCCCTGGCTGGCCACAGACTCTGCAGACCAGGCTGACCTTGAACTCAAATTCAAGGAGCTTCACCTGCCTCTGACTTCTGAGAGCTTGTAGTGCCATCTGTAGGCAGAGACTGCTCATTTGTTTCCTGACTACTCAGACACAAATAATCACGCAGAAACTATATTAATTACAACACTGTTCAACCAATGACTCAGGCATATTTTTAGCTAGCTCTTACATCTTGAATTAACCCATTTCTATTAATCTATGTATCAGCATGAGGCTGTGGCTTACTGGTAAGGATCCAGCACTTATCTCCTTTGGCAGCTACATGACGTCTCTCTGTATCTCTATTTGGATTTCTCTCCCAGCTCTGCTCCGCTAAGCAGAAAAAGCTTTATTCATTAACCGATGGTACTAAAACATATTCACAGCATACAGAGGGGAATCCCACATCAACTGCTGAGACTAAAGGTATGCCTAACCATGCCTAGCTTCCTAGTTGTTTTAATGGTTTCTGTTTGTTTGTGTGTTTTTTTTAAATTTATTTATTATGTATACAATATTCTGTCTGTGTGTCTGCCTGTAGGACAGAAGAGGGTATCAGACCTCATTTCAGATGGTTGTGAGCCACCATGTGGTTGCTGGGAATTGAACTCAGGACCTTTGGAAGAGCAGACAGTGGTCTTAACCTCTGAGCCATTTCTCCAGCCCTGTTTGTTTTTTGAGACAAGGTCTATTACATGAGCTCTGGCTGTCCTGGAACTCAATATGTAGACCAGGCGAGTCTACACTCACAAGCTCTGCCTCCCGAGAGCTCGGAGTGCACCACCACCCTTGGCTTAATGTTTTGTTTTTAAAGATTTATTGTTGGAGCCCATGTGGCTCCAACAGAAATATCTATTTTTTTTTAACTGGACTGATACGGAGGTGCAAGGAATAACCAGACACAGCTTACACCATTATTACGGAAAACGGCATCTCAGGCTTCTTCCTCCTGAAGATCTCCTTAAAGATCCCTGTGTTTATTCTCCAAACATCTTTTATACCAATACATAAACTGGGTGGGAAAATACATCATCATACTGTCTCGTAGGTAACCAGGTGAATGGCCTTTTGTCATGTCTGCATCTACCTGTCTGCTGAGTATGCTAGCTGTCACGTAGGCCTGAATTAGCATCTCTATAAGGCATCCTCTAAATTACAAAGAAAGGGAGCAGCCAACATCCTGACCTTTGTCAAGCAAAGAAAGCCTGTCTGCAGGGCGATGTGATCATTTTGGATAGGCCCAATGGCTTCAGAGCCTGGCTGCTACACCATAAAGAAATATGGACCCACAACTTATTATTTGTGATAGTGGATTGAAAACAAGGTTTTGAGCATACTAGCCAAGTACTCTTATTTAAGTTAATATTCATCTCCTTCTTACCATTTTGAGACAACACATCACCGAGTTGATCAGGCTGGCCTCAAACTCTCCTGTCTTGGCCTCTCTAGTAGTTGGGATCACTGGAGTGCTACATTCCCCCGCCTTTACAGATGCTATCTTCAAGTATTAAAGTAAGCTCTCATTTGCTGCGTTCCTCACAAAAAAAGCTGGTCCTGACTTTTGAATCCTTGGAACTCTACAGGTCAGAGGCAAGATGACTCAGAGTTGCCAGTTATCCCCGTGTGGACCTTCCCTGTGACTGACCTGGCTACCACATGGTGAAGACAGTGATGTGATGTCCATGTGGATGAACAAGTCAATGCAGCACACTCCCAAGAGCTTCAAGGTGGTGACATCCACTTCCTACAGAACCATTTTCAGTGTCTCTTAGGCTGTGATTCCAGAGAATCTTGTTTTTGTTAAATCATCAAATTAAAGACCTCACACAGTTTCCTTTTTTCATGATGATTTCTGACATGATTTTTCTCTCATATAATTATTAGTTTGATGACAACACACTTGACAGATGTTGTTTGTCTCTGATGGCTTGGCATTGCTGGGTAAGCAAGGAGGAACTACGCCAGTACCCGGAGCACCCTGGCTCTATGGGCACCACTGGCTTACAGAGGCAAGAGAGAAGTGTGCATGGACACACATTCAGCAGCCATGTCTGAGGCCCATGTGTGGGAGATTAAAGAGTCTGAGCAGGATCGATAGTGGGCATAGGGCTCCCTAGTGACTGGGGGAAGAAGCTTCTCCTGGCCATGCCCCCTAGCTGTGGTGATGGGGACTGAGGGCACGTTGTGTACACCTGTAGCCTGAGAAGATGTACAACATTCCCCAGAGATTTTAAAGATGGTCCAGGGATGTGAGCAGCCAGGTCCATGTACGGTCTGATACCTTCACATTGAAAGAGCACCCGGAGGGTGTCTCACACGCGTGGAGACCCGTGCCCAAGAACCAGGTCCGAGAGCCACTGGATGCAAGAACAAGAGGCAAACTTTAATGTTCACAGGCCTGTGGGTGCTGCAGTCACATGGAGAACTGAGCACACCGAGCTACGTCTTGGGGTATCTTTATATAGGCAGAAGCAATGTTACAGAAGCAAAAGCGCGGTTACAGGAGTCCCATTGGTCAGTTTGAATGAGGCGAGGGGTGAATTTGAGGGCAGGCCTCGTGGTCCTTGGCCTGGACCAAAGAAACCAGATAACTGACCTGTCCCTATCTCAAGCATATATGGTCAGTCTTTTGAAGTCTTTGTTTCCACCTAGGCCAGATGTCTTGACCATAAATTCCCTGTCCTGCAGCCTGATAAGGCTGTCCTGGGTATCTCACCAGATGTCTGACCATAAATCCTCTGTACTGCAGCCTAATAAGGCTGTCCTCGTTCTGACCTCAGGTATCCTGCTTTGCTCAGCATTCGGGGGCCCTTCTCTGAACTGAGCTTCTTTGCAAAATGACATAACTGTGGCTAAAATGAGTTGGGGTCCTTCAACATTAGCAACCAAACCATAGATTTCAAATGCTGTGGGATAGTGCTCTTGTACATTGTAAAGATTTGTCACTCATATTGGTTTAATAAAATGCTGACTGGCCAGTAGCCAGGCAGGAAGCATAGGCGGGGCAATCAGACTAGAATTCTGGGAAGAGGAAAGGCAGAGAGTTAGTTGTTACCCAGACATAGAAGAAGCAAGATGAGAATGCCTTACCAAGAAAAGATACCAAGCCACATGGCTAAACATAGATAAGAATTATGGGTTAAATTGTAAGAGCTACTTAGTAATAAGCCTGAGCAAAAGGCCAACCAGTTTATAATTAATATAAGCCTCTGTGTGTTTATATGGGACTGAATGGCTGTGGGATCTGGCTGGACAGAAACTTTCGTCTACAATGTAACTCTCATCAGGATCATAGATTATTTGCAGAAGTGGGGGATTGAATCTGGGATAAACACAAACTAACAAAGTAACATAGAGTACCTCCTGGAGCAGCAAGACAGAATCTGCCCCTACGGGCTGGGAGCCATGCCAGAGTGGCTGGGCTCAGGCTGACCAAACCATAGATTTAGGTCAGCAGAGCAACAGGCTGGAAATGTGGTGAGCACTTGCTAAGCATGACGATGCCTTAGATTCCATCTCCACTACTGCAAAACCAAACCAAACCGGAAATACCGAACAGAGTCAGCTAGAGGACTGTGAAGGAGGGAACAGGCTGCATGGGTATATGAAGGCAGACATGGCAGTGGGGTCAGAAAACCCTATCTAGGTCCAAGGTTATTGGCTAGGCTACATGCTGGGAGGACAAGTAAACTAGAATTATATAGACGTTCAGCATGTCCAGTAAAGCTGAACTTCAAGTGGGCCAGAATTCTATGCTCTAGGGCTTGAGCAGAATATTGCAGGATGTCCTTCTGTATGCTGTGAATATGTGTTGCTTTTATTGGTTGATGAATAAAGCTGCTTTGGCCTATGGCAGGGCAGAATATAGATAGACGGGAAATCCAAGCAGAGATACAGGGAGAAAGAAGGTGGAGTTAAGAGAGGTGCCAGCAGCCACCAGAGGAGTAAAATGCTAGGCATTACTGGTAAGCCATGTGGCACGTGGCGATATACAGATTATTAGAAATGAGTTAATTTATATGTAGAGCAAGCCAGTAAGAAGCCTGAGCCAAAAGCCAAACATTTATAATTAATATTAAGCCTCCAAATGATTATTTCATAAGAGGCTTTGGGGACTGGTGGGCTGGAGAGAACCTGGCCCAGCAGGAAAGAAACTGGTTCAATGGGACTGGATAGGACGAAGAAAAAACTCCGGCTATAAGAATTATCATTCCTCTATCAGCCAATAGGAGGAGTCCCAGCAGTAGGACCACAAGGAACAACGAGATGTCAGTGGTATGGCTCCGAAGCTTTATGTCAAGCTTGACACCCGAGTTCAGCCTCTCCTACTCACATCATGGAAGAAGAGTCATCTCCCCCCAGTTGTCCTCTGCCCTACACATGCGTGCAGTGGGACATGCGCACCCACACATACACACCCACATCAAATAAACACAATTCAATTTAAAAAATTTAAAGCAATAACAACAAACATAAGGGAATTGGAGATGGGCCTGACTGAATCTCTGGCTCCCGGGCAACAGGATTTGTGGACCAGTAGGCTTTCTTAGGGTGTCTATAGCCCATGGCTTAAGAAAAGTGAGGGCACGTGGTAGCTCTTAGGAGTGGAGCAAGCAAGGTACAGGTCACAGAGTCCCTGAGGGCTGGGGTAGGAGCCTTGCCCTTTCAAGCCTGCTTCTGTGCAGGGGCCCATCCTCCTAGGAAGAACATCTCAATGTTCTGAGATGGGATCCACTTTGGGAAGACAGGGCAGTCCACCCAAACTCTATAGTTAGAAACCCAAAGAAGCATTCAGAACTTACATGTTTCTTCTCTTAGGAATGGCCTAGAACTGCTGTTTCTAATAATTAAGATAGCTTTCTAAACAGAGCAAGAGCCAACCCAACACCTCTTTGGTACTTCCTGAAGCCAATTTCCACTCATGGAATTGAGCTTCCGTGTGGGCCGATGTCACCCAGGGCAGCATGACCAGCAGAGATCCATTCTGGAGGGGCAGGACTCCGTCCATCAATGTCTCTAGCTCACAGTATCGAACATTAGTAGAGGCCCCTGCTCAGGGGCTGGAGGCTGGCTCCGGTGCAGCGATTCAGTTCCTCCAGCACCAGTTTCTCCTGGTTGTACATCTGGAACACAGCAGCACACACGCTGATGAGAGGGCACTTCTGGGACTCCTGTCCCCAGTCACACTCCTCCCTGTACCTCCTGCAGAGGCCCCCATCTCAACACCACACAAGTCTAAGGGCAACACCTGAACAGAGACCAAAAGAGCTCTGGGTGGACAGGAGCTACAAAGGAGTAAGGACACCAGAGAGGGGGCCCTCAAAGGGTTGGGGGAGAAGCTTGGATACCCAAGAGGACCAGGGAAGTATGGGAAAGCGAGGGAGTGGGCATAGAAAGGACTGGGTGGGAGCAGAGCCAGAAGGGGGTCTACTTTTAATTGAAGGAAAAACAGTTCCTTCATGGGGGCTGGAGAGAGAGCCTTGCAGTTAAGAGCACTTGCTGCTCTTACAGATCCCCTGGGTTTGGCTCCCAGCATCCACATCAGGCAGCTCACAACCACTGTAACTCCAGTTCCAGGAGATCAACTCCCTCTTCTGGCCTCTACAGATACCTGCACACACGGTGCACAGAGACTCATGAAGGTACACACACATAAACAGAGAATCTTTTTTTTTAAAGTTCATTTCAAGTAATAGACTATTTGCTTGCAGATATAACCTAAGCCTGCCTATTAGATGCCATAGTGGGCTTCATAAATGTGGCACTTATCAGCCTTTAGAAACAAAAGAACCATTACTTCATATTACCTGTAGCCAACTGATGAGGGAAATTTTCTTTTTTTCTAAACATTAAATATCTCTTGACTCCCATCAATAATAGCTAGCACTTCAGGGAATTTAATATTTAATCTGTTTGTCCAGGTGCCTTCTTTTTTTATATATATTTATTTATTTATTATGTATACAACATTCTGTCTGTGTGTATGCCTGCAGGCCAGAAGAGGGCACCAGACCCCATTACAGACAGTTGTGAGCCACCATGTGGTTGCTGGGAATTGAACTCAGGACCTTTGGAAGAGCAGGCAGTGGTCTTAACCTCTGAGCCATCTCTCCAGCCCTCCAGGTGCCTTCTTTCAGCAGAGAACTATATAAGTGTCTTTATCTTTTTTTTTTTTTTTTTTTGAGACTGGGTTTCCTTCGTTGTCCTGGCTGTCCTGGAATTCTGACCAGACTGGCCTTGAACTTACAGAGATCCTCCTGCCTCTGCCTCCCGAGTGCTGTCCCCCGAGTGCTGGGACTAAAGGTGTGTACTACCACCTACTACCTCATCGGTTTAGGCCAGATAGATGGAAGCCATAGATCCTGCTTCTTGTCATAGGGTGCATGGGGCTGGATATGCCTAGAGGTTAGGGTTACATCTGTGGAGAGCACACAGCCCCTTGCACAGGTATTGCTCCTACCTTTTGCCACTCGACCTCAGAGTTATGGGTGAAGCCCAGAAGGTGACAGAGTCCATGGGCGGCTGTCACCTGTCAGAGCAAATGAGAAGTCAGCTTAGGGGATGATCTACCAGAAAGCTGCCCCTTGGGGGTCACAGACTACCCTTGTAAGACTGAGTTGCCTTATGCCAGGACACTGGGCAGTTAGTTACTTCACTGTGCAGGAGTTAAAGCACCTCAGTTCCCTCGTATCTAGGCATGTGCTCACCATTGAGCTACATTCTAACCTCAGCTCCCTCCTGTCTAGGCAAGTGCTCACCACTGAGCTACATTCCAACCTCAGTTCCCTCCTGTCTAAAATGGAACATTTTGGGACTGGAGAGATGGCTCAGAGGTTAACTTCCTGAGTGAAGAGGTCAAACTTAAATTAACATCAGTGAGGCCATGACAGGCTCAGACTAACAAAACTGGGACTGGGCCTCATTATTACAATAACCAGGAAAAGCCACAGACAGTACCCTGCAGGGGAACAATCAGAATTGAGATAAACAAGTACTAGATGCTCCAGAACATTAAGAATAGCTTACCTAACCTGTATATGGGTTACCAATTTCCTTACAGCAACGCCAGTATCAATCCCTGTTTGACCAGATTTCTGTTACCTCACTCTGTCCCAATCAGGAGTTCAAGCCTCATCTGAATCAGGAATTCCCCTACCCCCTCATCCTTTACTCCTTAAAACCCTGCCATAGCTGAGCTCAATGATCCAACTGCTGTGTCGGAACAAATGGAGGGACCAAACTCAAGCTTGCAGTAAAGGGTCTTTGCTTTTGCAAACAAACTCAGACTCCTGGTGGTCTCTGGGGGCTCATGGCGCAGGCATAACGCTAAGTTCAATTCCCAGCAACCACGTGGTGGCTCACAATCATCTATAATGTGATCTGCAGGCAGAACACTATATACATAATAAATAAATCTTAAAAAAAATAAGAGGAAATAACATGGAACATTTTACATAGTTCACTTAATTAGTGTGGAGCATCACTGCTTGGGACTGCGCACAGGTAAAGAGAGTTGACTGTCCTTGGCAGGGTAGTTTCGGCTATCCAATTAGAACTAAGCAGGAGGGAAGGGTGGCTTATGTCTGTAGTCTCAGATCTAGAAGGCTGAGGGGAAGGACTGATTGGACCAAAGAAGTCAAGACCAGCCTGGGCAATGTAGTGACTCCATATCTTTTCATTCATTTATTTATTATTTTAAAATTGTACGTAGTGTCTGTGTATGTACAAACGAGTACAGATGCCCTGGGAGCCAGAAGAGGACACCAGGTTCCCTGGAGCTGGAGTTCCAGGCAGCTGTCAAACACCCCATGGGTGCTGGGAATAGAACTCATGCTCTCTGGAAGAACAGTGCATCCTATTAACCACTGAGCCATCCCTCCAGCTTGAGCCTACATCTCTTTAAGAAAAAAAAGTTAAGCAGCAAGGAGCGACTAAATACAAGACAGGGGAAGGTGGGAACAGGGCTGACAATTGCTAATCTATAATACAATGGTACCTGTGGATACTAGTGTACCCTTCTCAGCCTTCTCTATGGCTTTGTTAGTGAGTATATATGATTTTGCATCCCCACTTACCGTTAGGATGTCATAGAAATCTTCATTTTCTCTGCACTGCTGGAAGATATACTCCACACCTAGGAAAACATCTCCCAAATTATAATCATCTGGCGACTGTGGCTGAGGAAATTCCCCTGCTTTCAGATTCTGAAAATGAGGAAATAGAGTTGGAGGCCTTGCAAACAGTAGCCTAACCACAAGGACTCGGCCCACTTGCCCAGCAGGGGACATCAAACTCTTGACCACAAGATGGATGCTCAGATGCTCAAACCACGCGATGGAGGCTAAAGACCATCAAAGAGGCCGAGGAGGTGGACTGCGGACTGCATAGTTATTACACACAATGGCCCTCACATGCTTTGATCTCACCAAATTATTCCATTTCTTCTATCCCTACCAAAGTAATTCACATTCTATATCGTTAAGTTGGCATATGGACACAATTACGTTCTTTCCCATTTGCCTGCCTCCATTTTCTTCCTATTAAGGAAATCACGTTACACTGTACCTTCTTCATGCTTTGGCCTCTCAGTTCTGTAGGTGTGACATGGGTAGATTATGACATACACATTTTAAGTCTTTGAAGCACTGCTAACTATCAATTTGCTTTCCCAAAGGATTGTTCCAATTTATGCGGCTAACGAAGGGTAAAGGTGTTTACGTAATGTAGCTACTTGTAGCTATCACAAGGTATCTGTTGAAACTTTACCACTTTTTACTTTGCATTTTTCTATCCCAGCATTCACTACTGAGGTACACTTATAATTTGAAAGGCGCTTATTTGAATTCCCTGACAGCACAGAGGGAGGGAAGGAGGCCCCTACATAGAGGAATTGTGATGTTTAGGGACAGACATACTTAACGGGCATGGGTTACAGGTCATATTGCTTCACTTCTTTTGTTTTTATTTGCTTGTTTCTGAGACAGAGTCTTGTGACAGTCTTGGTTGTCAACTTGACTATCTGGACTGAATGACAATCCAGAAATGGAGGGTACACCTGTGATCCAGATCTCGAGCTGGAAGACACATGATTTTAGTCCAGATCTTGAAGTGAGAAGACACACCTCTAATCTAAGCCACACCGTCTTCTGGAAGCCTCTATAAGGACATGGAAGAAGCAAGGTTTTGTTTTTTGCCTGCTTGTCCTTGCCCTGTCAGCACACTGACTCCTTCACTGGCCTTGGAGCTGACCTCTTCAGGATTCTAGCATCTACTGAAGACCAGTGGAGACACCCAGCCTTGTGGACAGCTACTACATTCTTGGACTTTTCATTCAGGGCTAGCCACTGTTGGATTATTGGACTGCAGCCTGTAAGTCCATGACAATAAATTCTTCTACCCCCAAACACAAAGAGATTCATTCCATGTGTTCTGTGACACTAGAGAATAGTGATTGCTACAGGGTTTTTTGTTTTGTTTTGAAGTTTTTCCAAGATAAGGTTTCTCTGTATATGCCTGGCTATCCCAGAACTCACTCTGTAGACCAGCCTTGCCTTGAGCTCAGAGATCCACCTGCCTCTGCCTCTGTCTCCCAACTGCTGGTATTAAAGGCATGGGCCACTATTGCCTGGCTCAGACAGGGGCTTATTATGTAGTCCTGTCTGGCCTTGAACTAACCAGGTAGACCAAGGCTGGCCTTGAACTCACAAAGCTGTGGTCGCCTTTGCCTCCTGAATAGATGGAATTAAAGGCATGTATACCAGGTCAGACGTCAATGCATTATTTTGAAAAATTCCAAAACCATATCTGTAACTAACAAGAACTCTTCTAGAAGAAAGGTAGGCTACATGTGAGGAACATATTCTTTTACCTCATGGAATGGGAAAGACAACACATCAGTTGGAACGTTTTTCTTCCTGTAGATCCTATTAATGTGCTGAATACGCTTGTTGTCAACACAGATGATCCCCACGTCAAAATCCTTCACTCCTAAAATACTCCTGACGACATTCATCCTGCCGCGAAGTGGCACTCTTCTGATGGGGACCACCCGCTGCAGATTTTTAATCACCAAACTCATTTTGGGAAGAACATCCAGCCCCTTAAAAATGATTGGAAGAAACCTGTGGTTGAAGTTCGAGAAAAGACCCGTCAGTATTAGAAAGTGATAAATTATGTAAAAAATACATACACACTCACAATAAATCAATTTTATTTCTGGGTGGTGGGGGCGCACGCCTTTAATCCCAGCACTCAGGAGACAGAGGTAGGCGGATCTCTGACTTCAAGCTCCGGTCTACAGAGTTAGTTCCAGACAGCCAGGGCCACACAAAGAAACCGTCTGAGAAACAAACAACCAAACAAAACAGACAAACAAAAATTTTATTTGGTGGAATTCATCGGCACTTGTCAGGGAATTTACATTTACCATAGGAAACTATGAAACAGGGTAGGCTGGGCACAGTGTGCGGGCATAAGGCAGTTTGGAACAGTTGCTATCGTGTAGAACCAGGTAAGGGTGAAAAGATGGGGTCTCTGTGGGTTCAGGGTCTCTCCGACACTCGGGAGGGTGGATCCATACACAAGCATGGTGTTTCTACGCCGCACAAGGAGAAATCGCCGCACACTTACCGAAGCAGGTAACGTGGGAAGCTGGGAACCAGATAGCTCTCCTGCCGGAAGATCAATAGCAGCACACCCAAGAGAGCGGAAGGCGGATGCGGAGGACCGGAAGTCGGTCCGACGAATTTGTCTTCCGCCGCACACATCTAAGGGACGGTCCCAGTGGTCTGTAGTGAACCCATAGTGCGGTGGGCCTGGTGGTGAACGGATGCTTTCTGTGAATGAACATCGGCGCTCGTGACAGGACGATATCTGGTGGAAACGCTCCTGCGGCGGCCTCCGTGGTTCACTGCGTTCTTGCCGAGTTGGTTAAGCCCTGGCTTCGCCATCTTCGCACGAAGATCTCTGTAGTCCCTGCCACCCGTTTCCTAAGAGCTGCCGGCGAAGGCAACAAAACTTAAGTCTAGTCCAGGCCAAGGCATCTCAAGTTCGAGTTACTGGGAGAAAGATGAGATGGTAGAAAATCAGAGCGGTGGCATTTTAACAGTATTACGCTATAATTCTCTGGCCTTGGAGATCGCAAGAATCAGGCGTAAGTGATGTTTTGCGTCTTAATGCTGAGATTTTTAGCCTTAGCTAGATCTGGTGGGGCACGCCTGTGATCCCAGCTGTTGGGAAACCAAGGCAGGAGAAAGGAACGTAAAACTATGCTTGACAGTATATAATAAGTTTGATGCAAGCCTGGGCTGAGACCTTGTCTTAAAACAAAACAAAACAAAAAAACTTTAAACCTCCAATTACACAGTAATTTATTTGTACTTTCTTACTCTGTGTCCAAAACAGGAAGAACCTATTGGTTCTGAGTGGTCGGTCCATTGTGAGCGTGCCTTTTAAATTATCCTTAGAGTATTCGCGATTTAAGACTTGCAACAATGTGCTGGAATGTTCTGAACTTTTGTTTTTCAGGTTATCCTGAGGGATGAAGGAGAACTTCCCCAGGCAACAGGCAGTTTAAGGAAGAGAGCTAGTTGTGGACAGACTGTATTGATTGCCTTCCAATAATTGGCTTGAAGATGAACCCAGGGAACCCCTTCATTGGGAAGCAGCCCAGTGCTTTTGCAGTATCTTCTAGTACCACAGGAACATTCCAGACGAAGTCACCATTTCGATTTGGCCAGCCTTCCCTTTTTGGACAAAATGCCACGCTGAGCAAGAACCTTGGATTTTCACAGGTATCGAGCTTTGCAGCACCCTCTGGAATAAGTCATTCTTCCTCATTGCCAACGTTTGGACTTACCCAAACCTCTAGTGCTGGACTGTTTACTAGTCTTGAATCCACACCTTCCTTTCCAGCTACCTCTGGGCCTTCAAGTTCATCTGCGTCGGGAAATACAGGATTTAGTTTTAAATCACCCTCTAGCGTTGGGGTTTTCCCAAGCAGTTCTTCTTTTGGGCCAGAGACTGGAGAAGTAGCAAGCTCTGGTTTTAGGAAAACAGATTTCAAGTTTAAACCTCTGGAAAATGCAGTATTCAGACCAATCCTGGGGGCGGAGTCAGAGCCAGAGAAAACCCAGAATCAAGCTGCGTCTGGCTTTTTCAAGTTTTCCCAGCCTGTTAGTAGTGCCTCTGGAGGCCTGACCCCCTTTCCTTTTCCTCAGGCGACAAGTAGTTCAGTGACTAGTTCAAATTTTGTCTTTTCAAAGCCAGCTAATAGTAATACAACATCTGCCCTTATCCATCCTTTGTCCAACCAGAGTGTGGAGGAAGAGAAGAGGGGACCTAAGTCAGTATTTGGAAGTTCGAATACTGGTTTCACCACTTTCCCTATGTCATCTGGATCCTTGGGGGAGCATTTCCCAGGCAACAAAGCAGGTATCCATCAAGGATGTGAGGAAGCCATTTCTCTGGTGGAGCCGCTTCCTACCCCCATGAAAGGACTAAAAAGGAAAGAGGACCAGGATCGCTCCCCAAGGAGACACTGCCACGAGATGGCAGAAGATTCAGACCCCCTGTCCCGGGGCGACCATCCCCCAGATAAACGACCCGTCCGCCTAAATAGACCCCGCGGAGGCACTTTGTTTGGTCGGACGATACAGGATGTCTTCAAGAGCAATAAAGAAGTAGGTCGCCTGGGCAGCAAGGAATCTAAAAAGGAAACTGGCTTTGTGGAATCTGGGGAAAGTGACCACATGCCCATCCCAGGAGGAAATCAGTCTGCCCTGGTACCTCCCCGGCTTCCTGCTGTGAGTAAAGAGGAAGAGGCAGAAGGTAGAGATGAAAAAGAAGGTGAGTTCTAGATGTGCACGGCACAGGACACCTTGCTGTCGCGCTCTTGTCCTTTTCCCGGTGTTGGCTTAGTTTAAGTCCCCACCAAAACACTGGAGATCCTTACAGCGCTTTAGGGCCGGCCTTCCATCCGTGAGCATTTACTTTGCTTTTACACAGTAGCAACTCCTTGTGCTTGGACGTGCTATACCCCACAAACTTACATGTCTGCCTTCTGACTTTCTAGATTCCCTCAGGGGAGCATCTGGGCGCCAGAGCAAAAGGAGTGAGAGCACAGACAGTCTCGGGGGCTTGTCTTCCTTAGAGTCCACAGCCATCCAGTGTAAGAACATCCCCGACTATCTCAACAACAGGACCATCCTGGAGAACCACTTCGGCAAAATCGCCAAAGTACAGCGGATCTTCACCCGGCGCAGCAAAAAGCTGGCAGTGGTGCATTTTTTTGATCACGTGAGTATTCCCATCTTGCCTCTTGGTACTCCAGATTTGAACTCAGGGACGTGTTTTCCCCTCGTGCAGACGATCAAACCCAGTGCTTGGAGCACACTACACAGGCACTGTACCACTGAGCTGCTGTTCTGAGGCCTCAACCTGGTCTCTTAAGATTCTTTTAATTATTTTTATTTTATGTTTCTGGGTGTCTGCCTGCGTGCTTGTCTGTGCACCACTTGAATGCCTGTTGCCCTAGAGGACAGAAGAGGGCTTAGTTCCCCTGGAACTGGAGTTACAGATGGTTGTAAGCTGTTGTGTGGGTGCTGGGAATACAATCCAGTCCTCTGGAAGAGCAACCAGCGCTCCTAACTGCTGACTCTCTCTGCAACTTCAACTTTTGTGCCTTTTAAACTTTCCCCCTTTTCATCCCTAAGTGGTTTGCTTGATACACTATAGGGAAAGCACTCAGGTATTGCATTCTTTTCTCTTTAATTATCTCATCCGAAGTTTAAGATTGTGTGTGTGTATGGGGGGTGCGTGGGTCATGAAGTTAGAAAAGGGATCTTAAAAGAGGGGCAGGAGAGGATGACGAAGGTAATGGACATGTGATGTGGAAACAGAAGGAAGACTGTTTCAGGGAATGTAGGGAAATAACCAACAGGAGCGCAGGGGTGGAGTAAGGGAAGGAAGCAAGTGCATAAAATGACATAATGAAATATGATATGTAATATGTATATTTTACATATTATATGTATATTGTGTATAATATGTATTACATATACATATATATTATACGTATTATATATCTATATCCCATAGTAGATATGTCTACTGAAATAATTTTTTAAGAATCTCATTCTTCACTTGAGGTTGCGATGGTGTTTACTTTCCTGACTTAGGGTGTGCGTGTCTGAGGTCTCTGTAGAGCAAAGTTTTCTGGGGAATGTGAGTGGGCGCAAGTGGAGTCGGGTTCTTTTGAAAACCTTGAGAGTCACGTGTAGCTGCGGAGTACTTTTCCAAGCTCGGGTTCTCTGATTTTTATTTATTTCATTTGGATAAGTTCATGATTAGTGTAGACATTCAAGCAATACAGAGAAAAGGAAGTCTCTCTTTGAATCCTATTACCTAGGAAAAGCTGTTGGGTTTGTGGCCAGTTTCCAGTGTATACTGGAAAGTAAAGCACTTTCTGTGTGGTTTCACCTTGTGGGACTTTATATCTTTGCTATTTTTCTAAATATTCTTGTAGAAAGATTAAATCATATAAGAATTTAAGAAGGAGAAAGCATGTTTTCATAGCTTAAATTATATCTATCTATTTATTAATCTTTGCATGAGTGGTATGTAGGGTCAGAGACAAATGCCTGGAGGTCAGAGGACAACTTTTGTGGAGTCACTTTTCTCCTACCTTTTTGGGGGCTCGAGGTCTTAAACTTGGGTTAAGTGCCTTTACTTGCTGAGATATCTGACTGGCCCTCATTGCTTTTTTTGCTCCTCTTTTGTTTCTGGAAGCATCCCTGTATGTAGTCCCTGCTCTGTCTTCCTGCTTCTACCTCCCAGGTACTGGGATAGTAGGTATGTGCTGCTATTCTCAGCTTACAACTTTGATTAATTATTTTTTAAGAGACAGGGTATTGCTGTATTGCCCAGACTCATTTTGAATTGCTGGGCTCTTGCCTTAGCCTGTGGAGTAGTTCAGGACTAGACAGGCATGTTCCATTGCATACAACTAACTGTTGGTATTTTCTGAAATTAATAGAAAGTCTGAGCCAGAATGTGAACCAAAATACTACATAATGTTTTGCTCTGTCTTGTTTACTTACTTACTCGGCTTTCTCTGTTTTTGAGTTTTATTTTTAGTTTTCTTTTTGAGGCTGGGTCTTGCTCTGGAGGTTCTCCCCTGCTTCAGTGCTAGGGACTGAGTGGGCCTTCAGCGTGCAAGGCAAGTCTTTTACCTCTAAGCTGTGTTTTAAGATGTGGTCTTGCTGCATGGCTGATCTCTCTATAGCTTGGTGTGTTACCCAGCTTGAAATTGTTATTTATTTATTTATTTTTGGTTTTTTTTTTGAGACAGGATTTCTCTTTGTAGTCCTCTCTATCCTTTAACTCACTCTGTAGACCAGGCTGGCCTTGAACTCAGAGAACCTGGAATCAAGGCTGGGATTAAAGGCCTGCGCCACCACCACCTGGCTAGCCAAGTGCTTGGATTACGTGTGTGTACCACTGTACCCAGCCTCGTCATATATCTTGGAATAGTTTTTGTCCTTTATTCAAATCTCTGAGAATAAAATTTTTGTGCCAGAACATAGTGTTTTATGGATTTTATTGTTTATTTCTTCATATTGATTACAAATTAATAAAAGTTTATAGTCATAATTATGTGCATCATAGTCACTGTTTTTGACACGCGTATTCTTAGACTAAACTGGTCTAGAACTTTAAGACAATTTGAAAAACTT